TGTGTGTGTGTGTGTGTGTGTGTGTGTGTGTGTGTGTAGGGACCAGCCCCAAGGTTTATGATTTAACTCATTACAGTGTTTCAATCTACCTAACAAACTAGAATTTTAAGGATCCCGAGTTGGACATTTGTAGCCAACATAAGAACCCTGACATTATGCTAATACACAGTAAAATAGTCTACTGAACATTATGTGTCACTTAAAAACTGTGCAAATGAGCTGCTGCCTCACACTGGAGGTACTAAATTTAATGCACATTAGAAAAGGCGCATTTAATGCAATGTTTACAATTCCTTTCTTAATGGGCATGTCTACAAAATGGAAAGCATCACCATGCCCCTTTATAAAACCATGGTGAATCTACATCTTGAATACTGTGCCCAGGTCTGGTCCCCATACCTCAAAAAGGATATAGAAGAACTAGAGAAGGTATAGGGAAGGGCAACGAGGATGATTAGTGGTATGGAGGAGCTTCCATATGAGGAGAGACTAAAGAGGCTAGGCCTATTCAGTTTAGAAAAGAGATGCTTGAGGGGGCACATGAGAAGGGTTTACAAAATACTAGAAGGTGAAGAGAAAGTAAATAGAGATTTATTATTTACTCTCTCATACAATACAAGAATTACGGGTCACAAAATGAAACTAGTAGGTAGCAAGTTTAAAACTAACAAAAAGAAGGTATACACAGTGTGAAAAAGACCAAGTGTAGAACTCATTGCCACCAGATGCTGTGGAAACTAACAGTTTAGCCCAGGGGCGGGCAATTATTTCGGGTGGAGGGCCGCTTACCCAGTTTTGGCAAGCTGTGGAGGGCTGCATGGGTAGCCCTGCCCCTTGGTCACCATCTTGGGACCAATGTCCCAGTGTCTTAGGACCAATGTCCCAGGGCCAGCACTGGTGGTGGGGCCAAGAGCAGGGTTCAGGCTGGTAGGGGTCTGTGGAGCTGGGCTGGGCTGCACCAGCAGGGGGAGGGGGGAGCTGGCCCGGCTCCATAGAGCCCCTGCCGCCTGGGACCCTGTACCCCTGCCGCCCTGCTCTGGGCCCTGCTGATGCTGGCCTTGGGACATGAGTGCGGGCCCTGCTCCCACGCCCGCTCACTCCCAGTGCTCCCCCAGCCCTGCGGTACAGGCGGGGAGCAGTGCATAGCCCTGACCCCCTGCTCGGTGGCAGTGAAGGAGCTGGTGTGGAGCTTGGGGAAAAGCGGCCCCTCCCCCGGCCCACGCTCCTTGCTGCAGCCGCTCACAGCCCGCGTGGGGCTGTCCTAAGCAGGCACAGGCAGCCCCACATGGGCTGTGAGTGGCTGCAGCGTGGGGCACCGGCCATGGGGCATGCTTTAAATATAATACTACATTTTAAACTTCACAGATAGTATGCTACAGATTATCCAAAATAGTAAAATATTTCAGAAGTGGAAGGGACATGGCAACTCTGAGGCTAGTTAACCGGCTAGTCAGACAACATCCTCTAGACCAGGAATGTAAAACTCTTCTGGGCTCATGGGCCCCCACCCTTCACTACTGATTGGCTATGAGGGCTGCCTGTTAGACAGACAGCCCACGCGGCCAGTCAGCAGCAAGGGGTGGGGCTATATGACAGACAGCTCTTGCAGCTGATCACCAGTGAGGGGAGGGGCTACCAGGGCCCCATGGATCATCACTCAGCAGCTCTGCAGGCCAAATCAGGACAGACTTCCTGTCCCACGTGAAGCATTCAGTGCTGGGTCTGGAGCTTCTGCTGCATGTGGCATGCAGGCTGGACCCAGCACTGCATGCAACAACAAGGGGTTGGTCCAGGGCGCATGCTGTATGTGGTGCCCTACTGAACTAGTCCTGCATGCTGACTCCAGGGTCAGTCTACAGGCATCCATGAGCACCAGGGCCGGCACACAGGGCGCCGCCTGCAGGCCACACCTTGGACCTCCTGTGCTGCGTGCAGGCCCAGGTCTAGCTGATGAACCACATGCAGCGCAACTGGTCCCACAGCGCATAAAGTCAGTTCAAGATCCAGCCCATAGGCCCTATGTTTAACACTCCTGCTCTAGGCCACTTATCTGAATGTGGGTCCTATTGGTAAGGAAGGAAAGTAACTAAAAACTGATGGATGCGTGGAACAAACATCACAGTTCACTTGCCAGGGAACAAATGTCTACAAACTAAGGGCCATCTACATTACAAAGTTCTGCTAGTACAATGATGCCAGCTATGGGTGAGAACAGATCACAACCTGGAGCTAAGACAGCTCTCCCACCCAAATTCCAATTGTGGACAATGTGGACACATTGTCCAATTGTGGACACAACTGCAAGAAGAAGGATGCTTCTGCCATTCCAGGAGCTAGCTTACTTCTGAGGGCAGAAAATCTTTTGCCAGCAAAATGTCATCTACACCAGAGGGCCCAGCTGCTATAATTAAAACCTAGAAGTCTAGTTGCTAGGAGAGCATTTCATAGATATCAGGGCTGGAAGGGACCTCGGAAGATCATTGAGTCCAGCCCCCCGCCCAAAGGGCAGGAAGTCAGCTGGGGTCATAGGATCCCAGCAAGATAAGCATCCAGTTTCATCATTTAAGTCTACAAACTTATTTTTCACATAAGGTCCCAGTTCTGCCATCACATCACACCCATAATTCCAGGTATTTAACAAATCACCACTGACTGATCTCACGCATGAATGTGTTGTAAGATTGCAGCCAAGGGCTAGCCCGCATAGAAAAGAGAGGCAAAATATTGTGGTGGTGAGAGCACCATCTTGCAGACAGTAAAGCTGCTTAGAAAAGCAAGACTTCAGGATTAAGGTGATATTTTCCAATGAAGCTATGGCATGAACATCCATGGAACCCAGTAGAAAAACTTACACAGGTATCGTGGGGCACATGAGAAAAGCACATGCACACCAGAAAGGAGTATAAACACAAATAAATTACTGCAAACACAAATAACTTGACACTGACAAACTTAAAATAACTCCTTCTGCTATTCCCTTTCTGCTACTCCTTTGCATTATACCTACATTTAGTCCCTGTTTCTACCACCAGACTTGCAATTCCATGGAATGATTCGTGAGTCTTAAACCATTCTTGTGCATAGTCAGTACTTCTGATTCCGGTCGACAGGACTAGGATCTTTCCTTCTTACACCTGTTGAAGATGAGACTCCTTTTGACGTGGCGCCTAAACGTTAGTGTGACTTCTGTTACTCAGTTTCTGGTGCTTCTTCACTGAGAAATTTGTGCATTTTGACCATGATGGGCAATAGGAAAAGCAAAATCCACCCCTCAGGATGGACACAAAGATGATACTTTAACAGTGTGCACTTACCTGATGAGACCCCAGCCCAGGGCTGTCATACCAAAACTTCTTCCTTTTGGAAAAAGATAAACAACATAAAGTTTACTACATTGGTCTCATTAGAAATTGATTCTTCAGTTGCCAACCTCACATTTTCAGGGTCCATCTAACAAAAACAGCACTTCCCCTGAATAGAAGCCATTAACACCAGATGAAGACCCTGAACACCTGCTGCCCTTACAAGATCTCACAGGAGAATCAAATCCCCCCCAAAATGGACCAAGGACAGTGTCAGGATGAGTGCAGACCTTGCGCCAATGCTGCTTGTCCCTAGCAAACGCTGGTACCATGTGCACTCTGGTGTATGGCAGGTTACCCCGGGCACGGTATGGGAGGCTGGGGCCAGCAGCCTTATGCGGGGGTTTCCTGGGGCTACAGTCATGGCATGAAGCCTGGCTGGCAGCCAGAGTGCAGCTCTGGTCTGCCAGGCTCCAGTTTTGGGTGGCACGCACTGCTGTCACATGCACCACCCTGCTTTTCTTCAGCATGGGTGTTTTTGACCCTGGGATCCTGCAGGTAAACGCCCCCCTCCCAGCTGCCACAGGGAAAGCCTGCCTGTGCAATGTGTGGTGCCACACACACCACACATTCGCTCTCATCTGGATGCAGCCAAGGGGCTTAAACACACAAAAGATTCTAAAATAAAAACCGCACCAAAAAACATTCCCACCTGGTGGGGTTTGTTTTTTGTTTGTTTGGGGGTTTGTTTGTTTTGTTGTTTTTTTTTTTTGGGGGGGGATGGGTTGTACAAAAACACTTCCAATCCCAAGCTGATAAGGTAGAAAGCCAGATGAGAGGTGGATCCTGAGGCAAAGTGTCATCCTTCTCATGGGGGGGGGGAAGAGATCGACTGAGGACAACAGGCCACTTCCTGACCATGCCGAGCGAGCGCAGGCAGGCTCCCGAAGGGCAGTACCACGGTGACTTCATCAAGAGCGCCTCTGTGACGTCACAAACACACAACACCCCCGCGTTCCAGCCGCCCCGGGGCCTCCCCTGCTTGGCATCACCCCCGCGAGCACATCACCGAGCTGCGGCAGAGCCGGCGGCTGCGTTGTGCTGCGAGCTGGAGCCTCCCGGCGGCTGCAAGGCCGCGGCCCCGGCCCCAATCTGGGCCAGGGGGGATCCCCGCGCACCTACTTGGTTTTGAAGACCAATTTCTTGAGCAGGTTCCTGGAGCCGCGCAGGGCGGCAGAGACCTGCGGGGCCCGGCGCGCCCCAGCCACCAGGCTCCACTCCCCTGCTCTGCTCGGCTTGGACAGGGCTCGGCTTGACTCGGATCGGGGTGTCTTGTCGCGCCCCGGGCCCCTCGTCCCGCAGGAGGTGCGTGTGAAGCAGCGAAGAAACTATATTCTAGTTAATAAAAGATATCAAAGAAAAAGAAGCCTAATACAAGGTCTCACCTCTGAACCAAGAGTGTTTGCGTTTTGTGTTCCTCTTGTGAAGTAGCTGAATTCTCTCTTTGCCTCAACTGATTGGGGTGGGGGGGCAGTCTCAAGGGCAAAGACTGAAGGACGATAGGGAGAGCATAGCTAGATCGCCCTAGAGCTGCGTTTCTCAACCCGTGGGTCACCACCCGAAAGTGGGTTGAAAGAACATAGGAAAGGATTGCAAGCAGACTTTCAAAATCAATTCTTTCAAGGCGAAAAACGTGGGAAACCCTCGCTTGCAGGCTGACAGAGTTCCAGCCTGCAAAGGGCTGCTTGGGGGCCCCCATATCCCACACGTCCTCCCTGCCCCTGGTACAGAGCAGGGTGAGAACCGGTGGTCTAAAGATACCCCGTTCTATGCTCTCCCCCTGTAGCATCCGTTCTTGCCCCTGTCGGAGACAGGCTCCTGGGCTAGGTGGATCGTTCATCTGACCCAGTACGGTGTCTTTTATGTTCTTACAATTGTCCCTCACCTGTTTTGATGGGAATCAAATCTCAGACTACCATAATCAGCCCCAGATGAGTAGAGTACTCCACTTTTAGCCTGAGCAAGCTGGAGTCAGCATGTGCACAGCCATCCTAGCCCCCACTCCCCCCATCTCACACTTGGGCAGGACAGCAGCAGGGACCCTTGGACATTGCTTCAACCTGTTGCTCCATTCTGACCCAGTCCACCCAACTCAAAGGAGAAACACCCCTTTGAAGCTCTGGCAAATAGACTGTAAGGGCTTTAAGGCAAGACCCAGCTTTTTTATTGTGTGTTTGTACGCTGCTTAGCACAGCGATTCTCAAGCAGAAGGCCATGGCACCCTGGGGTGTCTTGAAATCCCTTCACCGGTGCTAGCAGGGTGCCACACAAAATTAGCACTGTTAGATGTACAAACATGATTCACAGGATAAACCCAGGGAATGCATCCCCACATGCCACGTGGGGCAGAGCTGGCATGGGGTTCCCAGGGGGAGGGCAGCAGGGCAGGGAGCCCTGAGCCTGCAGTGGGCAGCAGGCAACCCGCGTTGGCCCTGTGCAAAAATCTGGGTGGCCTGTGCCTCCCCCACATACCCTCCTCCCCAGGAGTGTGCACAGCAGCTGGCAGCCATTCCCCACCTCCTGGTCCATTGGATGAGCCATGGGTCTCTCCCACTTCCTACCCCAGCCCCAGCCCCAGGTCCCATGAACTACCCTGGCTGGGCAGCACCCTCAGGCCCAACCCCTGCCTCTCCCTCCCTCACCATGGAAGCCTCAATCTGCCCCTCCTAGACTTTTACCTGCAGGCAGCTGGGGGAACTTGTCTCCACACTGCCTGGGACTATATTCTTGGCCATGTCCATGTGTATATGTGCACACATGCATGTGGCACCCCCTGCGTCCCACTCCCCGCAGCCCCTTGCAGGCTGGAACTCTGCCAGCCTGCAAGAGGAAACACACCATTTCCTGCATTTTTCTGTGATGAACAGAAAACCCAGATCCTTGCACAATACTGGAAATCCAAGACAAATGCTGTCCTGGAGTCATGAAGCCCAGTACTAGGATCTGATGTTCCCATTTCGGGGACTGCCCCTTCCTGAGCGGGGCCAGGGCCCTGGGGCCCCCACATACTCGGCCCCTATGGCACACACCCCTGCACATGAGCTTTGGTGTGGGACGAAGTGCCCTGCTTTGAGGAAGCTGCCATTTCCTTGGTCCTCCTAGTTCTGCCCCGGCATGCTGGAGGAGCCAGGGTGGAACTAGAGGAGGGGAGACGCTCTGGCCAGCAACTAGAGCATCTCCCAGGAAGACCAAGCCTCCATGTCTGCCAGCACACGCTCCTGTGTGCGCCACAACACTTTTTTGCAGCATTTGTTTTTACTACTGGGATCTCCCAGTTTGCAAAATTTGCAAAGAGGTCTGCAGCACCACAGACCACACATGCCTGCACATCTGGATCCAGCCAGAGATTTCATTCTAACCTGTTGTCCTACACAGGTCATATATGAAC